ACAAAGAAATATGTGGATATAAAAACATTCACATGATTTCACAAAGACATAAGCATACGAACACACGAATACACGACTACACAAACATACAAACACACATACAATATAAAAATACCACCAGGCAACAACAACCTATTCCATACAATCAATACAACTCTTTTACAACACTTTCGGCAGTTGTTAAATAACAGAGAGAGAGAGAGAGAGAGAGAGAGAGAGAGAGAGAGAGTTACTCTTACTCCTGTCTATAGGCAGTCGTTGCCAACTTCCTTCTCACTGCTCCAATTAGAAGGAAACTCTAACATAAGAATCTTTCAACTTCCATCTTTATGTCGTGAAATAGTTAACTAGTTTTTTCATCTTCATTTATGACGAAGGATTTAGCCTAAGACCTTTTGAGAATCTACCCATGTGTCGAAGAGAGATAATTTACACACCTCAACATATAGAGTAAAAAAAAAGGTTTGCAAGTTAATCTTCGATCCTTTGAAAATCAGATTATTATGTTGTGTCTCAAACATAGCTTTCCTTACCTCCACACAAATAAAAAAACTAACCTAACCTAACCTAACCAAAGATGTTTTGCGCATCCAAATGGCTCCACGAGTCCCCACCCCCCACCCCCCTCAGCCTCACCAACCTGTGTGTTTGGTTCATATCGATTTTACAATCTTCTCAACGAGTGTCACAGATCTAAGGACTATCTCAAAGAATACTTGGATATTCCAGTCTTCGTTGGTATTGTTTCAGTCATATTTGTGGATCAGTGAGCGCTCATCCCTACCACACAGGGAGGTAGAACATAAGCTATTGTATTCTGGGGCATAGCTACTGTGGCTATTGTATTCTGGGGCATAGCTACTGTGGCTATTGTATTCTGGAACATAGCTACTGTAACTGTGCCTAACGTATTATAACGATAGCTAACTGGGTTTACTGAATCCTAATGTATAAATAACTGGGCCTAGTGTATTCTAAAACATAGCTAAGTACAGTAGTCCTAATGTATAAATGTATTAAAGTAGATCTACCATATACAGTACTTTAGTTAATATTTTATAAGTGGTTATGTCTCCTAAGTAATACTTTTTTAAAGTATCCTACACCAAACTTTTCGAAATATTGCACATATGATTTTTTTTGCAATATGGTACTAAACATTTTGCAACATTCTACACATATTCTTGCAACATTACTCGCGGTTTCGGAATATGTTTCACGGATTTTTTTTTAGTAACAGTTCACAGATTGGTGCAATATGTTTCCACAGATTTTTGTTTTGCTTGACCTTATCAATGAACATTTTCAACTTGCTGGTAGAGTGAGGGTGAATGAGTCCTAGCACACGACCCACCTCAACCATCCTGCTAAAGTGTCTTGCTCATTCATGGTCTTTCTCTCTCTTAATGGCGACGTAGATCTCAATAGACCGTCCTATTATTTGGGAGTGGGTGGGGGGGCGGGGGTTAATGTGGAGGGGGAGGTTGTGGAGGGGGAGTTAGGAGAGGTAGGGTGGAGGGGGAGTTAGGAGGGGTAGGGTGGAAAGGAGAAGTTTTGGGGAGAGAAGACCGCGCGTGCATAAAGTAATACTACTACTACTACTAATAATAATAACAATACACAATTAATAATCTAAGATACAGTAAAATAAAAGTCCTGTTCTAGGTTGTATGCTTATTATATTCTGCAAATTAACTCTTATTTTTGTACAACGAAATGGATCCAGAGAACATGTTTTATAGGTGTTTTATACAGGTTTTTGAATATACAGTGTACTGAGAAATGTATTATTATCATTGTTATTGTTAGAATATATTAACATGGCTGACATAGTAGTGGTGAAAAAAAAAGAGAATCAAAATATTGAGTAATTACGTAGATAGAATGAATATTATGTAGGTGAATATATTATCAAATGAATAAACTCGTGGATAAATAAACTGATAAATAATAACCGCCCCAAAAAGATAAATAAACAGATTGATGAAGAAGTAAATAAACAGAAAATATGATAAAATAAATTGAATAAATGAAATAAAACAGATAAAAACAGATTGAAACACAAACAAACACTGATTTAAATACACATGCCGATTTACGAATTAAAATACTTACACACACAGAAATACAGTTAATGAAAACAGACATGCACATACGAAAAATAGAATTAACAGACATACACTCACACACACCCATACAACCAATTTAATACACATACACGACAAAAACATAACAGAAACATATATTTACACAAAAAAAAACACATTAGCAAAATACTTACACACACACACACACACACACACACACACACACACACACACACAGAGGGGCAGTAATTGAAATCTTTTATTTACCAACTCTATCCATCTATCTATCCATCTATCTATTTACCATCTATTTATCTATCATCTATCTATCTATCTATTATCTATCCATCTATCTCTCTTTACTGATAAAAGCACCAGAGTCATAGTTTAATATGTACACTACACAAAAAAAAAAAAAATTTCCCCCGAAAATTTAATATAAACTCTTGGAAATAATGAAATATCTCCCATTAAAACTGTATTATGAATTTTATACTCGCCAATATTTTTTTCCAAAGATTGTTACACAACTGCACCTCACACACCTGTACCTCACACACCTTCACCTCGCACACCTGCACCTCACACACCTGCACCTCACACACCTGCACCTCACACACCTGCACCTCACACACCTGCACCTCACACACCTGCACCTCACACACCTTCACCTCACACACCTGTACCTCACACACCTGTACCTCACACACCTGCACCTCACACACCTGTACCTCACACACCTGTACCTCACACACCTGCACCTCACACACCTGCACCTCACACACCTGCACCTCACACACCTGCACCTTACACACCCCAAACCCCTCTACTACAATATCAAGGCCTCTGTCAGTCAAGGTAGAAGCCCAGCTGACTGGAAGGTTTCATACGTGTCACCAGTGCCCAAGTCAACACGCCCACATTTCTTAAACAAGTGACGCTCCATTACCCCAAAACCCAGCTTTACATGTGAGGATTTTGTACTTGACTGGGCTCATGACAACACGCAGCCGCCATAGATCCTCGGTAATTCATCATAAAAAACTTCCTCCGCCATCCACGGTTTCCAGTTTTCTTGGTTTAATAATTCGAAATCTAGGAAATTATAAGACCTTTGTGACCGTCGCCTTCATAGATCTTTACCAAAGCATCTGGTTTAGTTAATCACAACAAAATTATTAACAAAGCCTATATACTTCACCGTGGGTTCCGGAGAAATCTCGTACCGTGGCTAACAGGCTTCCTTAGTGCTCGACGCCAGGCTATACGCTTCGGAGGTGCTGTCTCCATTTTTCAGTCATTCACTCGCGGTATAGCCACTACCCTTAAGACACTAGGATGGGACCACTCTACATCCTCATCAACAATGCCCTGAAGATATTCTAGCTAGCTGGTAATATGTCGACCTTTGGTATCAATATGAACAACTCAGCTCCCGATACAGCGCTCTCAAGAATATACTAGACGGTCTGTAACATTGGCCCAACACCATTGTCACCGTCTACCATACGAAGACCATCATGGTTATGCACATAACATCACTTCTTCTGTGATCATGTTCCATCTCCCTCCGTTACATTCAGCCCCATCATAGCACAGAAGAGGTCGTGCAACACTAATCTTTCCTTTTCCTGCACCACATATCAAGAGGCGCTCAATACACCATCCTCGCCACCGTCTCCTGCTATCACCTGAGATCCGCGAATTACTGTGCGACATCACAACTGCATACAGCTCACGCAACGTACTAATTCACTATAAGAACAGATTTATTGCAACCATTGTATAAATTCCCAAGAACTCGTTGATAACTTCTGTGTTCACTCCTCACCAGTCTCACTTTTACACTGTAACTGTGCTGAAATTTCATGCAAAATAGCCCTACCCCTTGTATGTAGGATTTACGTCATTTGTATATTTTCAGCTTATGGCTGCTGTATCTGTTAATGAACCACGAATTATTATTATTATTATTATTATTATTATTATTATTATTATTATTATTATTATTTTTATTATTATTATTATTATTATTATGCAGGACACCCTTCATACTATCGTGGATTTGCAACACAATACTGATGAATAATGGTGGGCAGCCAAAATGACTGTGGGATTCCCTGTTAACCGAGTCGAAGGCCTTAGTAAGGTTAATGAAGGCCATGTACAGGTCACGACGCTGTTTTCTGCACGTCTCCTGTATCTGGCAGGCAGAAAAAAATATGTCAGTAGTGCTGTGAGACGGACTTGAAACACACTGAGAATATGGGAGGAATTTTCCGCCTCAGGATGAAGTCTGTTTCGGAGGACTCGGGCAATTATCTTGCCAGCTACAGACAGCTGTGAGATCCCACGGTAGTTGCCACAGTTTGACCGTTCTCCCTTGTTCTTATAAATATTAACGGTAGAGGAGGCGTCTTTAAGAAGAGAGTGGAGACAGCTGGTAGGCAGAGGTCCTCCTGCTTTTTCATACCCTTGGTGGCATTCCACCAGGTCTAATGGCTTTGTTATTTTTCGTCTAACCAGATAGCAGTAACTATCTCATCACAGGATGGAGGGTAGTCGAAGTGGGACAATTCCGAGCGCCGAGGGACGTATTGAGTAGTCAGGACATCCGTGTTGGTGTTTCAGTTGAGCAAGGAATGGCTGTGCTCCTTCCAGCACTGAAGAATGCCCTCTTGGTCTTTAATTAGGGAGTTCCGGTCGTATGAGCAGAGGAGGGCCGCGCCAGGAGTAGTTGGGCCATAAACTGCCTTGGTGGAACTAAAAAATTCACACTGGTGTTGATCACATACAAACACACACACGCACACACACACACACACACACACACACACACACACACACACACACACACACACACACACACACCACACACACACACACACACACACGCATGCACGCACACTTTACCTGGAACAATCAGTTTTAGGTCGAGGAGAACCATCTCTGTCCATGTCTGACAGAGGCGTGTCTGGGGCCAATCCGCTGTCTTCCACCGCTCTATATGATGACGGATGCTGTTCTGCACCTCGCTGTTGAGGAAGCAGAGAACAGCGCCACCCAGAATCCTGTAGGGAGGCACAGTAGAGGAGATTTAGGAGCTACCACCAAGAGAGTTGTTGTGCTGTGTATCTAAACCGTCGTACATTATGTCTGTATAGAATCAAGTCATGTTCAAGCCACGTTCTATAAAGCCACGTTCTATAAAAAGCCACGTTCTATAAAGCCACGTTCTATAAAGCCAATAAAGCCACGTTCTAAAGCCACGTTCTATAAAGCCACGTTCTATAAAGCCACGTTCTATAAAGCCCAAAGGAGTCGTTCACATACCTGGGGAGAGTAGGATGGCTCACGTGCCCAGCTCCTGCGGCAGAGCTAGCAGCATGTATGTTAACCCCAGCAGAGGAATCAGTACCAACAGGGCCTTCGTCGCCTTTCTGTACCTGTGTCTCTACCGTATTGGCTGATCGTAATGGGTGATGAGTACCTGGTGATGAGAGATGATTAGTGTAGTGCACCTGGTGACGAGGAGATGGAGAGAGAGAGAGAGAGAGAGAGAGAGAGAGAGAGAGAGAGAGAGAGAGAGAGAGAGATGGGGGTTGGGGGGGCAAGGAACAATAATAAACACCACTACAGTTTTCGTATAAATTAGGTTCCAGACAGACAACTAGAAGAGTAATAATAATAATAATAATAATAATAATAATAATAATAATAATAATAATAATAATAATAATAATAATAATAATAATATAATAATAATAATAATAATAATAATAATAATAATAATAATAATAACACACCGTCTCTCTCCGTTCCCAGGAATGCTTGAATCTTGGATATAAGACGGGAATTAACTTCTCTCAGCTCACGGGAAGAGATGGAGGAAAGAGACAATGACAGGACAAATGGAGAGACGCCAGAGAGAGAGAGAGAGAGAGGTCTGGAAAATGGAGGGGAGCCAAGAATGAAAGAGAGAGAGAGAGAGAAAGAGGTGTGTGAGAGATATATGGAAGAGAGAGAAAAGCTGATTAAAGAGAGAGAGAGAGAGAGAGAGAGAGAGAGAGAGAGAGAGAGAGAGAGCCAGAATGAATAAGCCAATAAAACAACAAGAGAAGAGGAAATAGTGTCAACTGACTTAAGAGAGAGAGAAGAGAATGACAGTGGAAGAAAGACGACTAAGAGATGACGCTTCCTTTCCTATGGTGTCATCAAGAGAGTTTTTCCGGGGAATGAATACACAATATGATTCCCCGCCATATTGTGTATAAAGACTATGATATGTTATAATGGCAGAGATATTGAGTGACTATATTGGTTTAAATTGGTCCAAAGTAGTTATCTGGTTGCTATGTTAAATTTCACTCTAAAATTAATGAAAATTCCTCAAGGGTGACAAGGTGACAAAGTTTTTTTTTCAATGTTATGTTATGTTATGTTATGTTACGTTATGTTACGTTATGTTATGTTATGTTATGTTAGGTTACGTTAGGTATCTTTATCCTCAGGTGAAATAAGCTACTGTCCAGGTGAACCCTTAAATACTGTCCAGGTGAACCCTTAAATACTGTCCAGGTGAACCTCTAACTACTGTCCAGGTGAACCTCTAACTATTGTCCAGGTGAACCTCTAACTATTGTCCAGGTGAACCTCTAACTACTGTCCAGGTGAATCTCTAAATACTGTCCAGGTGAACCCTTAAATACTGTCCAGGTGAACCTCTAACTACTGTCCAGGTGAACCCCTTAACTACTGTCCACGTGAATTTCTCAAGAGTGGCCAGGTGAATGACCTATAATTAAGCCATTGGTGGGCAGTTAATTAGGATGCCTCTATAATCAGCTCTAACTCCATCCTATGGCACCAATTAGAGGCAGTAATGACGCTACCTGCTCCCAAGTGCACTTTTAGGTCACATCATTTACAATTAGCTGCCCTTAAGCACTTCTTCAGGATACACCGGTTGTATATAAAGTAGCCACTATTTGTTACTTATAAACTTACATAGAGAATGAAGAGATACCAAACTGGGTACTTAAAAAAACATAGTTCTAAATGCCAAACACTTATAAACTTTCAAGACCAGAATATAAACACTTACAAGACGAAAAAAAGTGTATGTGTATAATCTTTGTAAAGTGGCACTTATTAACACAAGGATAAATACATATAAAGTATTTAAGTAGGGAAATATAAAAAAATACATGTAATTACTTAAAAGCCAGATAAGTAGGTATTTCTGAACGTGAAAATAATAGTGTGTGTATAATATAAACCAAGACAGTAAAGGGGTTAAATATTTTAAGTAGTTCCTACGTTGATAATTAAAAACCATTAACTATAGATACTTATAAACCGTAATATTAAACCACTTAAAAACCAACAATGATATTATATACAAGACAACAATACACTTCCCCCAAAATAACAAATTTATAAAAAATAAATAAATAAATAAATAAACCTTAGATTCCGACAACATAAAAAAGTACTTAAGAGGTGAGGTGTAGCAGGCGGACTTAAATTAATTACCTAGAGAAAGTAGAACAAAACGTAACGTAAAGAAAGTACTTGGGAGATATAATAGAGGTACTTACCCACATTATACGTGTGAGGAATATGAGGTTGGTGGACAGTAGAAAGAGGACGGGTATTTTCTGTATCCAGTCTACAGTACTGTCGGGCATCAGGGGACAGTTCCTTACCAGTCCCTCTAATTCATGTCCTTCCATACCCGCAGGCTGTAAGAGAGGGAGAGATGAGAGAAAGTGAGAGAGAAGTGAGAGAGAGAAAGGTAGAGATGAGTATCTATCTATCTATCTATCTATCTATCAACAATCTCTCCTTCCTTCAACCATCTTTCACTCCCTTTATCACTATTTATCTCTTTTCTTTAGTCTTCGTTCGTTTCTCACTATTATACTCACATGGGTTGTGGCAAGTTGTGATTTAAGGATAACCCAACTGATGATTATAGGAACTGGAACACCTGCAAGAAGGAAATACACATCTGTATTAGGTATGAGTCAAACAGGTGTTAAGCAAGAAATAAACACTTATATTAAACTCGATTTAAACAAGTGTGAAAAGATTTAATTATCGGCTGGAAACATTTGTGCATGCAGCTGTAAATATAAAATAAATCAACAATCTATCATGGTATTATACAGTATAGATTAGAATAACAAAAACAAAATTGTCTCTAAAACGATACAATGAAAAATTATGTAATAAGTGACATATTTATGCTGGGGGTCTTGTTCCTCCCACCCCTTGTGTTGCTTGGTCCAGTACAGTACAGCTACATCTAACCGCTCCGCCTCCTGCTTACGCGTCATTAAGAGTTATAACCCGGCGTTCACTGTCTCACTTTGGATAATCGAAACCAATGGTATTTTAATTATGAAGGGGGGGTATTTTGCAGGGAGGGAGTATTTCCTCTACAAGTGTGTGTGTGTGTTAGAATCTTTACACAGGGAAAGGCATAATATCTATTTGGTGTAAAATGTGGATAAAGTCTTTACTGTAACATATCAGCCGTCTTATCATCAGCAATATACTGTAGCTTTGACCTGCCCAACACGGTTCTGTTTCCTTACAGTCCGGTATATAGTATACAGTATGTATGGCCATCTGTCTGGCCACACACTTCACTTTTAGTGTGGACCAGTCTGCTCACTCCCGAATAGTTAACTACCGTATACTTTACATTAATATTGACTGGATAATGTGGTCACCCAGTTAGTACGGATGATCAGTAAACCCCGTATAGTCGTATACGTTATAATATAATGTTTCAATCCACATTGTATATTATGAATGTAAAAAATGTGTACACCAAATCCACTACACATTATGAATAAGTTTTCTAGCCTGTAAAGTTCCTTAGTATTTCTTAAGAGCAACTCCTCCCTAAAGTGGCTTCTACTGTATATACTGTACAAGAGAAAGGAAGCCAATAACTTACCCCAGCCGATCAGTGTGTAGACTCGTAGCTTTATGTTCTCCACAGAGAACGTCTTCACCACCAGCATGTAAAGGTAGAAGCCTGGTGACGAGAACATCATAATTACTTGTTAGGCTAATTTATTTATACTCTCATAATTGTACCTGCATTTGTACTCGTACCTGAAGTCTTACTTCTAAATACTTTGAATATGAATTTGACATCGAATTAAAAATATTTTGTAAATAATGGAAATAACAAACATTCCACCATCCCCGTTTTTTCAGTCGTTCGGGAGCTAAGTGAACACGTTCGGGAGGTAGCTGCCACACCTTTCCGAGTCCTCTCACACCAGTCGTCAGGATCATTGATGCGTACGACTTGGTCGTGTGAAGACTAAGACAACGATAAACAATACAGTATGTTCTGGCTACACCTCACCTACACTCCCTCCGTCGAGGTGCTAACAGACTCGTGAACTAGTTTTTTCGGTTCAGCTAAGGATACGAGGACGACTCTATTAATGCAGCCCCCACGTCATTTTAGCAGCCCTGTTTTATGTTACAGCTCAAGTGAGTTTGTTAGATGTGCTTCCATATCTCCAGTTTAAGGTTAAGAATGGTTTACAAGCGTTTGAAAATACAGATTTGTACCGTAATGTAAAAGAAATGTTAGATATATCAGATCACCTGAAGATTAGCCACAAATATTTTTCGCCTGAAGATTGAACACACTAATCCTACCTAGGAGTGGGGTAGGTTAGGTTATGTTGTGTCAGGGTGGAGTTAAGGTGATTATTCTTAAGGTAATACTAGATGGGGATAATGTCCAGGTGATCAGATATCTCTTTACATTTCCACTTAAGAGGGAAACTTTATGAAAATCTGAGTTCTGGTTCCTGGCTGTCAGTAATTTTGATGAAATTTTCCAACCAATAAAATGGAGTACGTGTAGTGTCACTCAGCTCCCCACAGTCTGTCACCACCACAACAAATGTCACTCAGCACACCCAGAGTCTGTCACCATCACAACAAGTGTCACTCAGCACACCCAGAGTCTGTCACCATCACAACAAGTGTCACACAGCTCCACAACAGTCTGCTCACCCACAGTCTGTCACCACCACAACAAGTGTCGCTCAGCTCACCCACAGTCTGTCACCATCACAACAAGTGTCACTCAGCTTCCCACAGTCTGTCACCACAACAAGTGTCGCTCAGCTCACCCACAGTCTGTCACCATCACAACAAGTGTCACTCAGCTTCCCACAGTCTGTCACCATCACAACAAGTGTCGCCAGCTCACCCACAGTCTGTCACCACCACAACAAGTGTCACTCAGCTCACCCACAGTCTGTCACCACCACAACAAGTGTCACTCAGCTTCCCACAGTCTGTCACCACCACAACAAGTGTCGCTCAGCTCACCCACAGTCTGTCACCACCACAACAAGTGTCGCTCAGCTCACCCACAGTCTGTCACCACCACAATCAGTGTCACCCAGCTCCTCACAGTGTCACCACCCACAACAAGTGTCACTCAGCTCACCCACAGTCTGTCACCACCACAACAAGTGTCACTCAGCTCACCCACAGTCTGTCACCATCACAACAAGTGTCACCCAGCTCCCCACAGTCTGTCACCACCACAATCAGTGTCACTCAGCACACCCAGAGTCTGTCACCATCACAACAAGTGTCACCCAGCTCCCCACAGTCTGTCACCACCACAACAAGTGTCACTCAGCTCCCCACAGTCTGTCACTACCACAACAAGAACACTAATTGATATTTTGGCCATAATGACACACGTTTACAGCTCCACCTGGTCTGGTCACTGTATGAGTAACACCCAATTACCACCTGACAAGCACATTCTTCCTCATCACTTATTACTTATTGGGAAACTCTGACTTTAGGAAATTAGTCAAGTTTTCTCGAAGTTGAGTTGTATGTTTTGGGAGATATGGCTAATTTAATTTTTCCCAAGTTGTTTACGAGTTAAATGATGATTCTAGAATGTGTTAATACAATTTGGTCCATACACTTGTGATACAGTTGAGTAATAGTTGGATTAATGGTTGTTGTGGTTCCTCCAACAGTGCCTCTCTCTACTGTAGTCGTATTATCTCCTCGAGTGTTAATCTTTCGTGTTCTTATCTCCTTGTGTCTGAATATCTATGTGTTTTACTCACTAATATTACTGTATTTCTTTTCCTTGTCACGAATTACCAAGGATACTAGAAACATTAATAATATTTTCTTCACGAACGTCAACACAAAGTCGATTATACAAGACGTACCTTCCACGAACATCCACATGAAGTTGGTGAGTGTGAAGTAGTTGAGAGCCACGAAGAATGAACAGCCCACACTCACGTTAACCAGTGTCTGGAAGAGGAAGAGAACAACTGTGGTGAGAGATGACAGCTGTGAAAGTCCTCTGGGTGTGTGAGGAGGAGCAGCTCAAAGAAATGTTGGGGAAAGATGTTGGTGGGAATGTAGGATCATAAATCTCAGGAGAAAGAAATGAGGAGACTGAACACCATAAAGGGGGGGGGGGTGTATGTGGTGAGGATAACACTATATTACCACCATACACTACACCATTACTAATACTACCCTATGTGCATTTAAGTTAATATGATAGTTTCATTTGCGGTGATATTCAGAATTACAATAAAAGTTCGTTTCTTTCAGAGAAGAAGTAGAAAATCTATCAGATATGAGAGAGAGCGAGAGAGTTGTGCAAATAAGGTGTACATATTGTTGATCCGTCACCCCTAGCATCCCTTTCCCTTCTCCTGTCCTGGGTGGAAGAGTTCAGGTAGACGGAACGGGAAGACATAAATACATTAGCTTATCGATGGTGAAATATGGCCCCAGTAGCCTTGAGAGCCACGGGTGTTGATGTGTGCAGTGACGGACTGGCTCCAGAAATCAAAACCCGGGAAAAAATTCGCTAATGTTCCAAATATTTCTGCCCAAAACAATCTCCTCAAAGTTGGATCACCTACAGAATTGTCCCACAAATTACTCACCTGAAGATTGGCCCGCCTACCACCAGGTTATCCTAACTTTAACCACCTTAACACGGAAGACTACATAATAAGGTTATTAAAGTAGGATGGTTAATGTTTGACCTTTATTTGTCAATGTAAAGAAGGACATCAGAATGAACCCATGAGGCATTTACGGGTTTTGTGCTTTGCTGAAGTGTGTACAGTAGAGTAACTTGTGGGACACCATCTTCAGCTGACGGTGAACCTCTGTGAAGGCAGTGGTAGTAGTGGAGGAAGTGGTAGTAGTGGAGGTAGTGGTAGTAGTGGAGGTTAGTGGTAGTGGAGGAAGTGGTAGTAGTGGAGGTAGTGGTAGTGGTAGTGGAAGTGGTAGTAGTGGAGGTAGTGGTAGTAGTGGAGGTTAGTGGTAGTAGTGGAGGTAGTGGTAGTAGTGGAGGTTAGTAGTGGAGGTAGTGGTAGTAGTGGTAGTGGTAGTAGTGGAGGTAGTGGTAGTGAAGGCAGTGGTAGTAGTGGAGGTAGTGGTAGTAGTGGGCAGTGGTAGTAGTGGAGGTAGTGGTAGTAGTAGTGGTAGTAGTGGAGGTAGTGGTAGTGAAGGCAGTGGTAGTAGTGGAGGTAGTGGAGGTAGGTGGTGATGAGTGGAGGTGGTGTAGTGGAGGTAGTGGTAGTAGTGGGTGGTGGTGTGGAGGTGTGGTGGTAGTGAGGCAGTGGTAGTAGTGGAGGTGGTGGTAGTGTGGATGGAGGTGGTGGTAATGTGGTGGTGGAGGTGGTGGTAGTGTGGTAGTGGAGGTGGTGGGTGGTGGTGGAGGTGGTGGTAGTGTGGTAGTGGAGGCAGTGGTAGTAGTGGAGGTAGTGGTAGTAGTGAAGGCAGTGGTAGTAGTGGAGGTAGTGGTAGTGAAGGCAGTGGTAGTAGTGGAGGTAGTGGTAGTAGTGGAGGTAGTGGTAGTAGTGGAGGTAGTGGTAGTGAAGGCAGTGGTAGTAGTGGAGGTAGTGGTAGTAGTGAAGGCAGTGGTAGTACTGGGACCTAAGCTTATTTATAAACATTGTGTGTTACCTGGGCAGTATTGACAGTAGGACACACGAGTATTACTAATGCTTAGCCTTAACTGAAATGACTCTTTCATGACAGATACCGTGGCATGACAGATATCATAGCAACCATATCATTACCACATTTAGTTTTACCGTACCTAATATATATAAAACATCATTACGCTAAACCAATAGTCCTGTAAAGTACTAATTTATTACTAACTACACCCAAACACTCAAAGGCATTATATATTATACTCCAAAGACGGACACACGCCATCAACATACAGTATTAGCAAGTATCTCACCTGCACAGAAGCGTAGACAATCCAGAAGAGGTTGTGGAGCAGATATGTAAACAGAAGGTTTGTGTGGATGGTGTTACGAAGACATCTCAAGTCCCTGGGGGAGTTAGATAATGTTATTAAAACTAGTTATGCAGTTTAGCCACACAAAACCTTTAATAATTAGCTTTATTAATATTGTCAACATTCTGTAAAATAACTTGTATGTAATTTGCATACAGGTAATGTCCTCATTTCTGTGATGGTTTGTTTATGTAAATTTATAAACGAGAATGGAAGGAAAATATTATGATACGAAATTTTTGCCTCCGTGTTATATGTCTGGTGTGTATCGTAATACTTAAACTACTACTTCTACTACTACTTCTACTACTACTTCTACTAGAATTCAGTTCGGTATAAGAAACAGACCACAAGCTTCTTTTTTCAGATATTTTTATATAAAGATTAAACAATACCTTCACCCTCTCCACGTACACAACATTATATACACAACATCACGTACACAATACCACTTACTGTACCTAAGTACCACACACACCTACACATCACATATACAATACAATATTCACAACTTCACGTACTCAACATCACCCACACAACACCAAGTATACAATACGACACACACAAGACCAATTGCACAATGCCTACTACTACTACTACTACTACTACTACTACTACTAACACTACTACTTTGCTGTCACTCGGAATCGAGTATGACGATCATCCAGCTATGATACAATGAATTATTTGGGATGTGACCTTCATTGGAGAGTTTTGAGGTGACTAAAAAGGCCGATACGGGACAGGCAGAGTTGTTCACAGATGTTGCACATGTGGAGGGCTACAGATAGTGCGGGAAGGGCGGTGGCAGCGTCTTTCCGGCGTTGGCGCTTGTCTGCCTCGTTATGCAGTCGGACTAACTCGAAAGTATTGACACCTTCTTGTGTGGTGATCCTCCAAGCGTTACGGTATGGGGTAATCGTCTCCCAGGTGAGGGGGTCGATTTGAGACCTTTTCAGGTTTGTCTTAAGACTATCCTTATACCTTTTCAGTTGCCCGCCGGCGTTACGTTTACTATTCATTAGGTGACTGTAAAGTAGCTGCTTTGGCAGTCTACTGTTGTCCATGCTGGTAACATGGCCAGTGCAGGGTAGTTGTTCATGGATAATGGTAGCCTCGATGTTTCTACAGTTGGTGTCAGCAAAAATACTGGCATTTGTTCTCTTTTCTTCCCAGCGAACTCGGAGGATGGAACGTAGACTACGTTGGTGAAAGTTTTCAAGTGCTTTGAGGTGCCTCCTGTATGTGACCCATGTCCCACTGGGGAGGACCACTGCTCGATAAAAATGCAGCTTTGTAGAATATTTCAGCTCCCTACAACTGAAGACACGGTATCGGAGACTGCCAAAGGCTCGAGACGCACATCTGATCCGATGCTGAATATCTTCATCGATGTCCGCGGTGGTGGACAGGCGGATGACGAGATACCGAAAGTGGGTAACATTAGAAAAGGTAGGACCGTTAAAATGGATGGATGGTGGAGGTGTGTCTAAACCAGGGGCAGGTTGAAAGAGAATCCGAGTCTTACGTATATTCACCTCAAGGCCGAAGTGTGCATACGCATTTGCGTAGGTGTTCAGGATCTCCTGTAGGTCGCGTTCAGTGTGAGCGACGAGAGTGAGGTCATCTGCATACTGAAGTTCAGTAATGGAAGCTGCCGACACTTTTATTTTTCCCTGAAGTCTTATGTTGAAAAGACCCTTCATCCGGTACTCGACATTCACCCCGCCGGTTAAATTGGCACTGGCACGAGAAAGGAAGGCAGCCAAGAAAATGGAAGAGAGAGTTGGTGCCACTACACACCCTTGTTTAACCCCTGTTTGGATGGGGAAGAACTCAGATTGGGTGCCATTGTGCAGGACACTGCCGTTCATGCCATCGTGAAGTTGCCTCACAATGGCAATGAATTTTTTGGGGCAGCCAAAACGGCTGAGGGTTGCCCCAGAGGGCTTCCCTGTTGACCGAGTCGAAGGCCTTGGTTATGTCAATGAAAGCCACGTACAGGTCACGATGCAGTTCTCTGCACCTTTCTTTTATCTGGCGGGCAACAAAGATCATGTCAGTGGTGCCACGTGATGGTTTAAAGCCACATTGAGATTCTGGGAGGAAGTTTTTGGCCTTAGGAAGAAGTCTGTTTAGGACTTGGTCAGTAATCTTGCCAGCTAGGAAAGAAAGCCAACCTAACCCCACCTAACCCCTGAGTTATGTGTGAAATTTGACTAGTTGTGATGAATGAAGAAATTTCATTAACTTCCTTTTCACTTTAACTTATCTCTTTCTCCCTCTTTTCATTTTTCCTCTTTCATCCTAACTTCCTCTTTCATCTCCCTTTCTCTCCTTCCCTCTCTCTCTCTTCCTCCATCTACAATCATAATTCACATATCATAGCCTATGTTCATAATCCTCATCCTCTTCCTGCAACTGTCAAGTGAATTGTGATACCCGGAGGTGTAGTTGCAGGAAGCATGGTCTAGAGTGCTCAGTTGCTTGTGGATATTACAGAGGGGTGGGCTGCACAAATGCCATGTCATCTGTGGACACCCAACCCGAAGATGACAATACTGAGTTTAAAAAGATTCCATGTCATATGTTGATGAATTTCATCTGACTGACATGCTATTTGGTGCACTTTGTTTACGTGGTAACGTGATCTTTACTAGCTATATGACTTATCTACGCACATTAAAAATATGTTATGAAAATAACCTAAAATTTGTTTTCCAATAATGTGTTTAGTTATAGGAAACTGCAGTGATAAAGATTTTGTTCAATACTGGAATAGTAAAGATTTTTGGGGGTAGTGGTAACCATCTATAACATATAAAACCGTGTACAGTTCTTTAAAAGCTTGCATTATTTCATTCAAAATTGTTTTAAATAAGGACAAGGGAGAGCAGGATAGGAAACGGTTACCATAATGCAGTAGTTATGTTATAATTACAAATATAGAGTTAATGATCAAAGTCGGCAGGAAAAAAAAACAAAATTTTTAAGTTAATAAGTATATTTATTTCTGATTTTCAATAAAACTTGACAACAAATCATCATTACAAAGGTATGTGTTAATAACCAGTGATGGTATCTTTGGCTTGATACCAAATATTCCACTGTATCCTTTTATTTATATAACTGAAAAAAAAAACGTAAAAAATATAAATTATTTTCTTCCTTATATTCAACAAAATTTGTTAAGTTTGAGGCCAAATTTCTTAGCTCTCGCTTCTATAGCTGCCCTTTGTTCTTGACTTAAGCCTGGGCCGGAGTAGGGCCTCTTGTTGCCCACAATCATTTTTCTCTCTGAAGAGGGGTTTTCAGTGGTCACTAGCTCTTCTTGCTTTGGGACCACTTTTTCTACATCCACGGGACGTTTCAGAGGACACATAAGTGTAGAAAATGTTTCAATTTCTTCTTCTGGCATGAGTGGCATTTCTAAGCTTGGCGATTCATTCTCTTCTTTTCCTCCTTTACGTTCAGGAACGTATTGTGTAAACGTCTCGGGGTTGCGCCATTTCATCCACAGGTAGACGTATGCTTGGTCGTAACGCTTGCCCATGCGTTTCATCTTAATCCCAGTTCGTTTTAGATGCATTCCAAAATTGGAGAAAGCAGCCTGAGTTAAACCATTCTTTTTGCAGTAAGAGACATAATCGTCTTGCAACTCCTTACGAAAAATTCTGTCATTGTCAAAATCACTGAAGATAACCTTTTGAAGTATATAAGTCATGAATGAATCTCGGCCAGGGTAAGGGCGAGGGTCGTTGACAAATTCAGCAAAAATTCTGTTTTGCAAGTCCATTTTGTCGATATGGATTTCTTACATCTTACTCAAGGACATCAATTTATTTTTCGGGGAGTTGGAGCAAAAAAGTAATATTACTTAGGTTGGAACTTTCAATAGTGAGGTTAATTGAGTGGTAAAATTTATTATAGTCGAGAGACAGAATTGTGGTGAAGATCGTAGTACAAATCTATCCTCTCCTTACTACAATCTCCCTTCCCTTACCATCCTTCCACTGATTGAGTGTTGCAGTGAAGATGTAGTACTAGTGTTGCAGTGAAGATGTAGTACTAGTGTTGCAGTGAAGATGTAGTACTAGTGTTGCAGTGAAGATATATTGTGTTGCAGTGAAGATGTAGTACTAGTGTTGTAGTGAAGATGTTGTACTCGTGTTGCAGTCAAGATATATTGTGTTGTAGTGAAGATGTAGTACTTGTGTTGCAGTGAAGATATATTGTGTTGCAGTGAAGATGTAGTACTAGTGTTGCAGTGAAGATATATTGTGTTGTAGTGAAGATGTAGTACTTGTGTTGCAGTGAAGATATATTGTGTTGTAGTGAAGATGTAGTACTAGTGTTGCAGTCAAGATATATTGTGTTGTAGTGAAGATGTAGTACTTGTGTTGCAGTGAAGATATATTGTGTTGTAGTGAAGATGTAGTACTAGTGTTGCAGTGAAGATATATTGTGTTGTAGTGAAGATGTAGTACTTGTGTTGCAGTGAAGATATATTGTGTTGTAGTGAAGATGTAGTACTAGTGTTGCAGTGAAGATATATTGTGTTGTAGTGAAGATGTAGTACTTGTGTTGCAGTGAAGATATATTGTGTTGCAGTGAAGATGTAGTACTAGTGTTGCAGTCAAGATATATTGTGTTGTAGTGAAGATGTAGTACTTGTGTTGCAGTGAAGATATATTGTGTTGTAGTGAAGATGTAGTACTAGTGTTGCAGTCAAGATATATTGTGTTGTAGTGAAGATGTAGTACTAGTGTTGCAGTGAAGATATATTGTGTTGTAGTGAAGATGTAGTACTAGTGTTGCAGTGAAGATATATTGTGTTGCAGTGAAGATGTAGTACTAGTGTTGCAGTGAAGATATATTGTGTTGCAGTGAAGATATATTGTGTTGTAGTGAAGATATATTGTGTTGTAGTGAAGATGTAGTACTAGTGTTGCAGTGAAGATGTAGTACTTGTGTTGCAGTGAAGATATATTGTGTTGTAGTGAAGATATATTGTGTTGTAGTGAAGATGTAGTA